TGAATTGACATTGCATTCATTACTGAATCACTGAACAGTTTTAGTTTGACGCTAGGCTATCAGTGATATCAGTTTGACATGATTTGATACACCAGTATCATACATGCCATGTGTTCTGAGGTGGAACTTTAGCTGCTGACTCGCTGTCACTGATGGACTGGAATCAATCAGACATCTCAGATCCAGCACAATGAACAAATCATATGCGGCCACTGCACTTATTAATATAATACTGTTGATTCTTATCAATCTGGGTCAGGCAGGTCTGTCACTGTCATTTGCCAGAAGCTTTGGTATGTATTTCGTGAACTGACAATTCAATGGCACTGTCAAATGTCAAATGTTTTTTTTCTGCTTGCTTTGAATGAATGTGTGGAATTGACTTGGCTCAAAGACTTATTGTTATTTTGATTTGAGACGATATGTCTGATCGGCCTTACAGTACAGCAACACTGGAAACAACAACTTTTAGAGATTCTGATCTTGAAACAGTTCTGATTACAATATTAATTAATATTTATCACTGAATCTGAACTCGAAACAATGACTACATTTTAAATTGTGAATGCTTCGTTGACAACAACGTCAGTGTCACTGAGATCAGATCAAATTCCTTTCACTGACTCAGCTCTTATTTAGTTGATTGATTATTCATTCGGAATTCAGCTGTGCTCAACTAAGTCAAGCTGTCAGCCAAAATTCAAAAGAAGCCTTCAAGTGATCACCTGTGACTTGATTGCCGGATTGTCTGGCATAATAGTCCGCTATCACTTGTTGTTTTCGTTGCTGAATATTGGCCCTGACTGGCTGTGGCTGCCTGACATTGACTGCCTGCAGCCTGACTCTTAACTTTGACCTGTCAATTATTCAAATGTTTATCATCACAGGATTAAATTCTTATTTTGTTTTGTTTTGATTTGCATTCTATTATTCTATTACAGCCTTTGCAGCTGTTACATACATTGTACATCTCGACAACAATGCTATGACTGTGTATGCGGACTGACTGACTGACCTCACATCTCAGGACAGTCAGTGTCAGCAGTCAGTATGGAGGATGACCGGGAAGTGCCTGCGGACGATGCATTCTTAGCCCAAGCTCCAGGAACCCCTGTCCTGCCATTGGTGAACAATCCAGGACTGGCTAACCTCACATTAGACAACGAGGATGGCATTTTTTTGTCCAAGAGTTGCCAGGTATTGACCAATGATGATGGTCAAACAATTGTACTCTGGACTCTCAAGTACTGCTATGACCAATTTGTAGACTTAGGTGAACAGCGCAAACTGAACAAGTGGTGCAAAAGCCTTCGAGATACAGTCATTAATAGTGGCTTGTGGCCTTCTTTCGATTCTGGTGTTGATTTCAGATTGCGAACTGATGCCAGTGACCAAGATTCAATGGCGTCGACAAAGGCACTGTTGTCATTTTCTTTCTTTATTCCAAGGCATCTGCAACTGGTGGTAGAAATAAGGACATGCAAACGCATGTCATCAAGAGGGTTGAAAAACTGTGCGAACGGGCTGTCAGTGTGGATGTTCAGGATTTCCTGGACTTGGTTGGTGTGAACGAATCATTTTTGGAGATGACGCCGCCTTTGACAGGCCGTATTTCTGTTAGCCGAGGTGGCCGTATCATTGGCCTGTTGGACAAGTTGTCGAATCTTCATTCTACAAGTGCTGATGCTTGGAAGACTGTTTGGAAGTCAATGCATGAAAATGACATTCTTTGGTCTGAACTCGAAGCTGAAGTTTCTCTGAGAGACTTGACAATGTTTGTATTACAGGCAGACAATTTCAAGCGGGCCCATGCTACAAAAACATGGTCCCCACAGCGACCAACTGGACAAGCATTGACAGCAATGGTCCGATCATTGATTGTTTTTTTGTCAAACCGACTTGAAGTGTCTTTGCGCGTTTACCAGCAGACTCATGACACAGCCCGAGCTGCGCCGGCAAGACATTTCAGAAGGCAAGATGGCACAAAACGGACCAGCATGTCATTGGATGCAATTTGGGAGACATTGAATGCTGATGATAGTGGTGTCTCAGCTAGAGACTCTCTGAAAGTTCAAAAGAATCCCAGGCTGTCAAACAGTGGTGGTTCGTCAGAGAGCAGCATCGACTTCTGGATCCGTAAGGTCGCCCAAATGCATGATGATCAAGTGAATCTGTGTTTGGTTGGTGCATATCACTTCAACATGGTCAGCGATGCTTCAACACATGCTGGTGGCAAGAATATTCTGGTCTCGTTGCTTTGGACGCACGAAAATGCGACTGCATTGTTTGCCAATTTGCAAATGACCTTGCCTGGCAAAGAAATTGCCCCAGATGAATGGAATTTGGAATCGTTAGTCGAGGCCCTGGCCAAGGAGAGGTTGACTCAAGAGAATGAATTCTAAATCAATAGTTACTACTTATCATCACTAATTGTTGAGCTGACCTTGAAAATTTTTATTTTACAATGCCAGTGGCCAGCCATTTGACGACCCATGCCAGGAGCGCAGGCTTGTGAGACTATCTTCTCTTCGTCAGCTACAAGCAATTTCGCACCAGTTGAACCTGGCAACAAAGGGCCGGGTTCCAAGCCTGGATTTTTTCAAACCTCCTGAAGGACTCATCCTCCGACAGATTCAGCCCAATGAAGAAAGGGTTGTCTTTATGTCAAATGAGGGCCGCAAGCTGCAAGCAGGTTTTGAGCAAAAGCAACAGTTCCTCATGGTTGGTGATTCTGAGGAGGCTCAGGTCCCTGAACCGCAAGTGCAAATGTGCATTCCTGGCTCAGCGAACTGGTGGTCCACTGTCCCAATGTTGGTGTTGCAAATGGATCAAGGGAGCCCAGGCTGTGCAGGAAGTGCGTGACCTGGACTTGAATTTGTTCAGTGGCACTTGATTAAAGTTTTTTTTGGTAAACCTTGTCATTATTATCTTTGCGCCTCGACAGTGCCATGACCCCTTTTTCATTAAAATGAATAATTCTCCGGATTCATTGTGATTTGATTCATTTATTATGAATTGTGAATGTGTGAGATGATTGTCCATCAGTGTGTCATGATTCTCCAAGATGGGTGATTGAGGTTTGCCATTCACAAATTGGGGCGTTTGATTCATGTCCGGTGGGACATTTTTCACAGGGCAGTCAATGATGTCAAGGGCGCTCTGGCAGATTCAGGAAGCCTTTTTTTGTCCGCTCAAATGCATTCGACGTATTTGTGGGCTCTTCAATACCGTCCTTTTGGAAGTGGAGGTTTCATGGAGGAAAAGAAACGGATGATGGATCATTTTATGGCTTTGCAAACCGAAGACTACGGACCGTTTATCGAACAGCTGCAGCTCTTCAAATTGGACTTGGGACTTCCTGAGCACACATCGCCGCAAGAGGTTTTTGCCGCAATCTGCGAGCTTCCAGGTTTTAACACAAAAGGAACACTTCCAAAATTGTCACGGTGGTTTTCATGGAATCAAAGTTGTGAAGAACAGGTCCCTGAATTCAGAGTGTTGAGGATGGTACTGAAACACTGGCTGGGCCCTGCGGCAGACAAACTTGACCCCAATGATGCTGTTTACAATCGAGAGTTGAAGATTGGAGTCAAAGCGACACAGAAGTCGGCTGGTACAAAAGAAAATTTGAGGTCTGAGTTCAGCCGATTGAAGCAAAACCTTGGCGGTGGATTGAAGTTGGCATACTATCTCATGAGTGACCGGCTGCTCCACACTGTGCGACTCATTGCTGCAGCAACCAGGCCAACTTGGACTTGGTATGCGGACACAGTCAAGTCAGTGAAATCTGCTGAAGACAGTGAAGCAAACCACAGAACTTCAGAAGTCATGGGCGTCAGACAATCACTTGGTTCAAACTGCGGCAGTGCTGACAGCGCGCAGCCCAGAAGTTGTCAGTTTATTTGAAGACCCAGAACTTTCGAGATTCAAAGACTCAGGTGACAAATTGTTCAAGCTTGTCTCCAACTTGTTGAAGCGCCGGGCCTGGTCATTTGCCAAGCAGTATACTGCCCCTCCGGACTGTTATTCTGCAATCTTGGGTGGCTCAGTCGCCGAAGCTCAGGCCAGCCATGCTTGTGTCACAGTCATCATTGATATCAAATCAGTTAATTATTAATGACAAACTGATGCTGAATCACAGTCACAGTCATTTAGCCAAAGACTAATGAATGCAACTGTTTTTTTTCATCACCACTAAGTTCGGAGTTCATTTCACAGGAAGCGGTGGCAATGCTACACCAAGACTTTGAATGGCTACTTCGCTTGGAAGCAGAAGCAGCTTTGATGGCGCAAAGGAAGGTTAAGGTCGAGTTGCTTGAGGACTTGTCAATTTTGATTAGTCCATGCATCCGCTTACTTTTCTTGGCGTTCGAGGAGAATTCATTTCACAGAAATTCCCCAGGAGGCTTGCATGTGCTGAAAGGGCTTTTGAAGGTCCTACCTGATTCCAAAATTGTAGAAGACGCACATGGAGTTTTGAGGCTGGCAAACAAAAAGTTCAAAAACAGGCGGATGACATACAGTATGATGCAACACACACTGACACGCAGCAACGTCTTTGACTCACGCAATATTGACAACAAAGCCAAAGTCACCAAGGATTCGTTTATGCGGGATTATCGCGCAGCTTCCGGCAACACCAGGAAAAAGTGACTGGTCTTAAAATTGCAATGTTTATTTTAATTAAGATTGATTGGACTCACAGCCACAGTTGTTTTTATAAATCGCATTTTGTCCTTTTCAAGCCAGACAGATATTAATTAATAAATAGATAATTAATTATATAATTTGAATAATTTGGCATCACTTCAAGGCGATACCTTGCCTCGGTTCACAAGCTGCCTGAAGAATGGGGCGGCATCTTGAAGAGAAAGACTTGGCGAACAGTCAATGATGGCATGATTCAAAAGGGTGCTGCTGCGTGGCAATTTTTCAGGTACTACTTCAAAAACAGATTGGCTCACAATCAGGTCAGGCTGGCCTATGGAAAGTTTGGTCAAATGGCCATTTCCATGACAATCTTGCGGAACACATCCACTGGATTTTTGGGACTTTGCTTGGGGAATCAAGTTTGGGCTGCACTGCTGTGGCCATTGAGACAGGTTCATGGCCCATGTCGTCCGGACAGGCTCTACTTCTGTTTGGACGCAGACGATGACACTGCAGCTGCTGAGTTTCATTTTTTTGAACAGCCGGAGTCCTGGGAAGTGGTCATGAATTACGAGTTACTATTTCATGACTCACAAGTCATCCTGGATTGCCCGTTGCACGAGTCAGAGTCGCTACTCAAGTTTTTTTTGCGTGAACCGTCTCGAATCAAACAACTTTCCCGGACTGATTTGGAGACGATCAGTGAAAAGTTTTTCATGCCTCCGTGTCATGGCGACCGTGATCAACTTCGACAGTTACCACAGAAAGATTTGTTGGCAAGTGTCATTGACTTCGCCTCAAATGGTGATGCCGATTACATTGAGCAAGTGCATGAGTCACTGAAGCAGAATAAATCATCTGCCGCTGCGAAGGCCCAGGATGACGAGAATGAGTTTGGTGGAGCATTGGACGAACTGGTGTTGCTGGACCTCCCAGCTGAAGAGCGTCGAGATTTCGATGAGGTGGCAAAAGCCATTGAGAAAAAGGTCAAAGCTGACTGGAACTTGATGATTGTTGCAAAGGAGGCCAAGGGGAAAGCGAAAGCAAAGGCAAAAGCCAAGTCAAAAGCCAAAGCCAAGGCAAAGGCCAAGGCAAAATCCATGGCAAAACCTGTCCGGCAAGCTGCCAGAGGAGTCTTCAATTCCCGAAAACGAAGGCGGCAAGCCATTGCTCCAATCGAAGATGCTACTAACTGTGATTTGTAAACTGTTAGTTTTTGTTTAGTAGGCGTCTTAAGTCTTACTGATGACATTTTTTGATTCACTTAGTTTAAATTAAATAGACTTATTTTTTTTACAATCAACTTAACTAGTAAGTTAAGAAAGTATTGATTCATTGATTGTCACTTTAATCTCAACCGCTGAGGCGGCCAGAGTCAAAGAGCCTGAACCTACTATTGGTGGCGATGAGCGAGTGCATGGGCATGATGATGCTGCTGCTAGTGGTGATGCCAGTGACCATCGCCGTCCAGAGGACAAGTCTGCTGATGATTTTGAAGTGCCCCCGGATGACACTGCCATGGACGCAGGTCTGCAGACGCTTCCGCCGTCACCAGTGCCAGTGCCAAAGTTGCGAGAGTGGAAGTGGAGAAGCCCAGCCAAGAAACAAGCTACTCTTGCTGCGTCATCATCATCATGCTCTCGTCCTACTGAGCCAATTGAAGAAGTGCACACTGACACAGTCATTGTCGCAATCGAATCGGAAACTGATTCAGTTCCAGCAGAAGCTGTTGAAAACCCGATGGTACCTGCATCTGAGCTTGCCAATCCAGTGCCACTCCAGCCTGCAGTACCTGATTTGGAACCTCCTGCTGAAGTCGCTGCAGCAGCGGCGGGCGTGGATCTTGTAGTGCCCAAGGCCAAGGTTTCCAGTCCAGTAATTATTTACGTTTTCCTTGCTGGTGTGCTCGCCTATATTATATTAATATGTTTTATTGATTTTTGTTATTTTTGATAAGTATATATGGCTAGTTTCGGAATTAACAATTTCAATGTATTCAGGGACCGGCCTGGCAAACTTTTCAATCAAACAATGATGCAGCTTAAAAATTATTCCCCAGGCCATTTTCAATTCAGATTTGAGTCAGTCAGTCAGTGCCATGATGATAATGTGAATGGTTGGTTTCAATTTGGATCAATTGCCATTGTTGGACTCGGATTGAATTGACCCTTCACTGAGTTAACTGAGTCGTTTGTCAGGCAGCGCCCAAGGCTGCAGCAGAACGACCTTGGCCTTGCCATACGCGAAATTCCATCAACCAATGGACTGACGTCCCGTGTCGTCGGTGTAATGTTGCCATTGCAGGCCAGATCAAATTTGACGAACGGCCAGGACAGCGGGATAAGCCCACCTGGTTCATGAGAGTTCGCGATGATGACAATTCATTGAATCAATCCAGTGGCCCGTACTTCTCGCGAAGACTTGCTCATATTGTTGGGGACACTGACACCTTTGCCATGGACTGGATCGAGCAGTATAAAAAATGCTGTGGAAGCAAACGGACCCGTCTTTGAAAGTCATGCTTTGCTCCAGTCGTCACTGCCGGCAGGGGCAATGGGTTTCAAATCACTCAATTTGATTAACTCATCAGTTTTGAAATTGAGCTGTTCAGTATTGATTCTTTGTTGAAACTCAGAAATTGGTTCTGTTCCTTTTTACGTTGGGTTTTTATTTAGCCTTGCTTTGCTTCAACAACCATTGCCCAATTGCCGCTTTTGAATACTTTGTTATGTCTGCCCTGGTGCCATGGGCTGACTCACTTAGCCTCACCAAGTCAGAGCTGAGGGCACGCCAAATGACTGGCAGTCACTGAAGCAGGCATAACAGATCAGATCATGTGACAAAACTCTGCGATTCATTCATGACTACAAATATCAATCACTCTTATATGATGTTGTATGTTCATTTCAGAGAGGGGCAAATCGAATCTATCTCATCTCGCTGTGACTGAGTGACTGTGATGCAAATCAGTTGCATTCATTGGAAGGATATAATAATAGAACCAATGAATGACCATCATCACACATGCACAAGAACAGACATTCTGTGATATTACGTCAGATCATCATAGCTCGTATGTGGTTGTCCACTTGACTGCCCACTTGCAAGTGTGACAGTCACAGCCTCAGATTCTATTATAATAACAATGACTCATGTTAATTATAGGTGCAGCTGTCATGATTCCATTTATGAGTCATATCGCTACATTTAAAATTTAAATCTTTTGTTCATTCAGTTTCAGTCAGTCAGTGGATGCTTAATTCAGTGGTGTCAAGGGCGCTGATACACTGCCTGTCAGTCAGTCAATTAAGTCATGTGCCACTTTGTGCACTGATGTTCCGCCTTGTGTACTGATGTGCCGCCTGTGTGCTCTGACTGATGTTCTGTTCAGCCGTGTGAACTGATGTGCCGCCTGTGTGCTCTGATGTTCCACTGTCTGCACTGAACTGATGCGCCACCTTGTGCACTGACGTTCCAATCATGTTTTGATTTGCAGTGGTGACCTGGTGTGCAGCCAACCTGTGTGCACGCATTCATTTAATGTTGTCAATTGATGCTGATTTCGCGATCCCTTGAACTTGCCAAACTCCACAACAGTATTGCCCCACATCTCCAAGCTCGTGATTCCCGGTGGGAAGGAATTTTCTGAGCCACGCGGAGGTGTCACTGGCAGACTTGTGACATGTGATGGCACGGGGAGCTGACTTCGGTCGGCGCTTGCTAGCATCGGTCATAGAGGTGGGTGTCACTGTCACACATTGAAAATCACTCTGAGCATCGCTCAGACAGAGTACCGTGCCATTGAACTGACTGGAAGATTCTTCCAGTTCAATTTATGGCACGGTACACGCTGCTCACCTCGGCCGTATACTAAGCACTGACTGATGAATGACAATTTGGTTTGACTCGACTAAGTTGTTGCATTAAACGGATCACTGCTGTGACTGTGATTTTTATTGACTGATTCATTACTTTCACCTGTGACACTGTGACAGCTGACAGTCAGTCATGTTTGGCGGATTATTCTCTCTCTATAGTAGAGTATTTTCAACGGTTTATTGTTTCAGTCCAACATATAGATAATAATTTCTACTCCATCAATCATTTTGAACGGAATGGCTAAATAGCAGGTGACTCAGATTGATTCATTAATTGATTGATTGATTGATTGATTGTGAGCTGGACTCTAATGTCTCACAGGTCACACCGGATTTCTGACATCCATTGGGCGTCTGTCAGCCAGCTGTGTGCTGATTTGATTCATTCATTGATTGGTGAAGCTGGAAAATGAGCACTGTGGCTTGCAAATCAGGCACATTTCGTTTTGAAGGGCCATAGTCATTTGTTTGGTAAATCATTCAGGTTTGCGTCATGGCTGACAAACTTCAAACTGACAAATGAATCCATTGTCATTGAATCCAGGCCAGTTAGTGTTTGATTGGTTCAACCTTGGGCAAGCACTTGTTCAATCTCAAACAGTAACAGAGTGCACTCTTTCACTAATAGAGCTTTCAACCCTGGCTCAAGTCACAATAATTTAGTAGGTCATTGGACTCATTTGTAGACTGTTTAATGCTTTGCACTTTTGGATTTTTGATTTGATTCATTGGAACAAAATCAAAACATTTTTTCATCAGGTCCTCCAATTGACTCATGATGCGGTGAATTTTATCCTACCTCTGTGAAATCAAGAATCAATTAAATTAATTAAACCGCGGCATCATCATGAATCATCATGTCAATTGAAACGAAGGGACTCTGTCTGACTTACGTCGCAGCAGATGACGGATTTGCCTACGCCAACTGATGCGTACAATGGATGGCCCGACAAAATATCCCAGATGTTGAGATACACTATTTATAGAGCGATCTCTGAAAGTGATGATGCGAAAGGACAGAATGATGCTCAATCACTAGTTGCAGGGGCTTCAAACTCAAGCAGCTCATCATCGACTGTGAGATCTCACGGAGTTACAACTCAGGCATTTCAGATTCAGAAGGCAATGGACGACGTTTTGTTTGAATTAGCATTGATGGATCAAGTGATGCTTTCACTGTCACAGTCACAGTTTGAGTTTGATCCTGTTAAAGCAAATCACTTCTATGCTTGGCATGAGGCCGTCGTAGGAGTGAGAAAGCAATTTGTGTCTGAATTTCAGATGAAGAAGTCAACAGTAACAAGATTCAAGACCTGGAAAGCCTTGTTGCAGGAACTGGAACAAAAAGGGTGGTCAACCGACCAGGACATACAATGTGTGACTCAGATCCACAACGATGTGACGAGTTGGGTTTGGCAAATTAAGTCGAGGGTCGCCAAGCAGGACCTTGCCAAAGCTTATTCAAAGTTGCGTTGCAAGTGCATGCTTTCGATTTCAAAGCTGACTGGTAACAACCTGGTCAGGGTGATCAATAACAGTCCATTTGAAGAAGTTAAGTTTGAAATGCGTGCCATCTTTTGGGAAATTGTTTCAATATGCGACAGTTTTTGTGATGACGATGATCCCAACGAAGACGACGACCTGTCGCTTCAGGAAGTGATTCAGTTCATTCAGTGATTCAGGAGCCGAGTCAGTCGAACTAGCTTCACTGGACTTCTGCTTAAATTATTTGATTTGAAACAATGCACTGACCCGCCTCACAGACTGACTCTCTCAAGCCTGAGAGGACATTGTAACATAATTTATGGTTAGAGCTCATTTGGCGAGAACCGCATTTGACTCTCTGCGGAGCTTATATGGTAAGGCTTCGGAGAGACGCCGATTTGAAATTTGGTTCTTGTAAGTAGACTCTTGCTGGTTTCACTCACTCAGGTCTCTGTCTCTTGATTTGGCGAAGCTGGTCAATTTTGTTTGGAATTGAACTGAACTTAATTAATTAATTTGATTGAAACAAAATAATCAATCAGAACCAGTGGACCAGGCAATGAAATTGCCTGTTAGTCATGTGCCACCCACCTGGTGCACTCATTGGCCTTGTGCACTGATGTTCCACCTTGTGAACTGATGTGCCAACTGTGTGCTCTGATGTAATTTATTGTTCCACCGTGTGAACTGATGTGCCGCCACTGTGTGCACTGATGTTCAGCCACCTGGGCACTGACAACTGTGTGCTGATTGATGATGATTGGCGAAGCTAGGGAAAAATGACGATTGCTGGGGCTTGCTACTATTGATTCTTGGACATCTCATTTTTGTTTTTGATCACAATGATCATTTATTTGTCTGGTAATTTGATAAGCCAATCAGATTCGATGGCAATAACTTAACTGATTCCGGCTAGTTGCTGTATGTTTTACAGCATGATGGTCCTGAATAATTCATTGTTATTTTCTTCATTCATGTTACGTTAGGTTAAACTGTTACACCTGCAGGAACTTTTTGCCCAAGATTTAAATTTAGTTAGGCTAAGATTAGTATTCCTTTTGATTGGTCCTCATGACAACTCAGCTGGACGAATCGCAGCTTTCGAGCCAGACCAGTATGGAAGCTGACGAACAGGAAGACCCGACACGACATCTGCTGCAAACACCAACGAGTGGCAGTGAAGCATACAACCTCCTTCTTCTGCAAGAAGATGTCCGTGACATCTCCCTGGCACAACAGTCACTAGAACAAACTATGGCATCCCTGCAGAGAAGAGAAATGAATGGTATCCTTGTTGACCAGGATATACGCACACTGCGCAGTGCTTGCCTCTGTCTTCGCAGCCTTCGTATGCGTGTGGAAGCCTTTGCGAACTCAATAGAACGAGTAGTGATAGCGCAGCAGCTGCAGTTTATGAAAACAAGAGTAAGAGAGCAACCAACTACTACCGAAGATGACTTCGCGGCTGACACTAGCTGCCCTCCCTGAAGTCATTTGCTCCAGGCTTACTATGCAGAAAAGGCCGTAATGTCGTAGTTACTGGCAGTGCAAGTGTGTGCTGATGTGCCTGTGTGCACTGATGCACCAGATAATCACTGCGTTTGCCTTTGAATGTATCTCATTCATGTTGTCGATTCTTAATTAAAATGATTCATTAGCCTGCTATTTTAAATAATAATAAATAGTAATAAGTCAAGTCATTGTCATTCATTCATTGGTTGATTGATTTCGCGAACCGACAAGATGGACCTGGTCAGTCAGCACTGTGAACACTGAGCTGGCACTGACACTTCGACCACTCACTCACTGACGACGACTCAGGTAAAGTAAAAAAAAATGATCGTCTTGCCGCAGTGTCGTTTGTCAACTTTAACATTGTCAGTGTCCCATTGAATCATTCACAATTGAGTCAATTTTAAAAATGATATTTCTTAAACCCTATGGCATATTTAATAGCTGGTTTAAATTTGTCATATATCACATTACATACAGGATATTACCTAGTTTATAAGTTCTGATATTAAACTCAATTTCCAATCCACGGCAAAAACGTGTCTATTTTTGCTCTTCACCCTTTTGCTAAGACCCTTTTAAAAACTTATTTTTTCTTATTTTTTCTCTTTTTTATTATAATGCCACAGTAAAGAAAC